TAACTACAATCAATATGTCTCTGAATAAGATTGTTTTCCAATAGTTTCCTAAAGTTCTTCAAGTTGAGTAGTAGTAAAAATACAGTCCAGGAATTTGGGTAACCAATCCAATCTGTCCTTTACTTTCAAAGTTACTTCTAGCTGCAATATCTTTTTTTTTTTTTTACTAAATCTGACAGTCACTCCCAATCGTTAATTGCAGCTAATTTCCTCCTTTGAGTCCCATTTTCCAAGAAATTGGAGTGCAGAAATTGGAGTGATTCTTACCAAGACTAAGCAGGGTGTTACAAGATCTTTCCTTTTTCACTTCCATATCAGCTGCCTTCCTGGCTTTGATTCAACCATGCTGGCCGTTCTCTTTTTAGTTCGGATGGAGGGGTTTTCTTCAGGTCAGACGAGGAGACTCTCCATTCCTCGCGACAGCCGAAGCATTCCTACTTCAAACACATTACACAAAGACTTAGTTCTTGGGAGAAGATTCAAGTGCTGGGAAAAGTGAAAAAGAAAGTAAACATGACAGCAATGTAGATGGACTCTTATATTGGTGATCGGTGCATTTTTGGAAGATCTCATGGAGAAAATCTATGTGGTAATGATAGTCAACACCAACTCAAACACATAAATGATCATTAATCAGTCAATCAGGTGACCTCCAAACAGAAGTGCAGATCTGGTAAGAAACGATGAAACCTCCTATCAGTGAGGTAATATCAAGCCTGGAGCTTTCTGGAAGCAGAAAAATAATATTTTCTTGATGAGTGTGGAATATAACATCACACTTGATGCCATTACCCAGAACTTGCCTTCATTTCCTTATGCCTGAAAGAAAACTGTGCTGATCAGAGGAGAATTATGGCTTACTCACCTATCAACTCCTGTTCTTTTGCCAGAGTAATGGTTGGTTGGACTGAGAGGCAGGTGTGAATAATAGTGAAGCAATTTCAGATAAAAAAATAGGAGAACCTTTCAATTAGTTGTTTAATAATAAATATATTGCTTCAAGAGATAAGATTTTTGTTTTGCTTTGGAGTTATTTAAGCTGGTTAAATAACTTTACAATTCCTGTTAAGAGTTAAATTAGGCTGGACAACTTTTTGACATAATGTCATACTGACAAGATCCTTGTAAATGGGCAAGACATTGATTTATATTATCACCACCAAAAGCACTTTGGGTCTAACAGTCTAATATGTTTTGAGATAGCACTAGGTATGAAGATATGGTTGCATACAATGCACAGTTACAAAGGAATGCACCTATCAATCACAGTGGGACAAAATTTTCATGTAAGCATGGTACAATTGCACTCTAAATAAAAGTCAGTCAGTTGTGTACATCTGTTTTTAGTTCATCCTCTGGAAATAGATGAATTAAATATTAATTATTTTTCTGTAAGTTTAATAAGTGTTTATTAATTTCTAGCATTAAGAAAAATAAAATGCTAAATATCAATTCAATATTTTCTTGATATTAAAAATTCACTAAGAGGAACAGGGTATTGTCTCTAGCTGAGATTCATGTTTATGTTTATCAAAGAGTTAGTCTTTGTTAGTCAGGGAAGTAAAATTTGTATAGCTGCTCATCTCACAAAGTGACTCTGAGTGTCATATAAAACAACAAAAATCAATATATATAAAAATAAAAGTCCACATTAAAAGATAAATATTATAAAAATAAACATACAAACCATAGGCAAAAAGAAAAAAGGAGTAGTCACTTCAACAATAGAACCATCTGAGCATGTCACTGCTGACAATGGACCTGATTGTTTTGCAATTGGCTGGATTCATACAACTTATAATAATTCATAATATATGATTTATACATTATAATGGCTAGGTTCAGATAATACATTAAGACAAACTATAATAATACTAATAATAGGTAACCAAAAATAAAAATGCCAAATCCAGACTAAACACCTGACTGATAGTGTGATGAGCCATAATATTAATAAGGACAAAAATGCAAAATTCAGTCTAAACATCTGGCTGACTACAACCAACTGTAATCATAATATATACCTGCCCATTCCAGATGCTAGAGAAGTATTGATAGGTGGACAAAAACACCAAGTGCTTGATATACAATATATGCAAATTTTAAAAAACTCACAGTTTTTCCCCTCTCCAAATCTTCCATATCCTTAGTCAAGTGAGAAGTCGCGCAGCCAAGACCACATTCAAAAAAGCTATTTTCCGAAGTTATCTTGATGATACTTTCCAGACACCTAGCACTGGAGGAGAATATGAAAAGCATCTTGGTATACTGGGTCCTATCATTAGGGCTGAGGTGGATGATGTAATCGAAGTAAGTCTATGTTCAAAATATTTTAATAAAAGAGTAATTTGAATTTTTAACAACATTAAATACAAAAAATGTTTGAACTTTGATAAATAGAATCAATTTCAGATTTTAAAAAGCCTAATTCCAATTTTTGTGTCTTACAACTATATGTTAAGTAATTAAATTATTTATACAAAGAATGCAACAAATATTTACTATGGACAGTACTGGAATCCAAATAGTGCTCTTCATATTATTTGGAATGAGCACCAACAGAAATGGGGCCAACTAAAATACTGGAAACACATCTTGAAATGTAAGAAGCTGGGGATCTTAGCTTCTTTTCCCTTTTTCGCAGAACCATTCTGGTACAGAGATTCTGAGCTTTCGTCAGAGACTGCTTTGAAGTTTGAATGAACCTGTGATCGAGCTCAGTCCCATATCATCAATTTGAGAAGCCCTAGGGAAGGAGGAGGGAAGCACTTGCTAGAGTGCAATGGACATTTTAGATGTAAAATGGAAGAACTGCCAGAACAGACCTCTTAACTCTAAGAGGCCTGGAAAATTATATCAGCAGATTTTATAAAATCTAGATGCATCCATCTAGCAAAATAGGAAATAATAAATTAGACCTCTATTAATTTATCTTATTCATATGATATTTACAACAATATTTAAATATCATTTTTTAAAATGTTTAAATATTTAAGATATTATATTCTCTCTCTCTTGTTCCTCCCCAGATTATGTCATAAATTTTCAATTTTTTTGTACTTTTGCAAATCTTGCATTCCTTCATATCTCTCTCCCTCCCTCTCTTCCTCTCCCTGTTCCCCCCCCCTCCCTCCCTCCTCCCTCCCTCATCTCTCTTAGCGTAGCTCTTACTGCGGAAGTTCAACACTCAGGAAATTCAATCGACTACTGTTGTGTATGGTGATACAGAAGTACAATATAATATCAGATATTTTTAGTACCATCTGAATAATACTCTGAGTCAACCTTGTACAGTTAACAGCAGTAATTGGGGCTGGTATATCCGTTGCTGAGTCTTGGTCATAAAATCTGAAATCATATGACCCTGATGCTTAGTGGATGCAGTTCTGGCAGTCCATGGTTGTGTCATTAAGCAAACCCTACACTGTTATTAAGAGCAAGTGCTTACCGCTTGCAACTTTGTTCCAGTTCCCCCCCAACTTTGCTTGTGGGAAGCTGGCAGGGAAGGTTGCAAATGGTAATTACCTAGCCATGGGACCCTGTGATGTCATAATTGCAAGCCAGTTGCCAAATATCTGAATTACGATCATATGATTGTGGGGATGCTGCGATAGCTGCTACTACAAGGACTACCTTGTAAGACTGAATACTGGCTGAAAGAGTGGTCCTTAAATCAGGACTGCCTCAATAGAATATTTTTGCATATAGAGAGATCCAGTGAAATTAATAACATATTGTATATGCAGCTTATGAGGTAATAGATAACAGATAATCAGAGTTGGAAGGAACCTAGTAGGTTATTTAATCCAACCCCCACCACCCAAGCAGGAGACCCTACACCATTTCTGACAAATGGCAGTCCAATCTCTTCTTGAAAGTCTGAAGTGATGGTGCTCCCACAACTTCCGAGGGCAAGCTGTTCCATTGGTTGATTGTTCTCACTGTCAGAATGTTTCTCCTTATTTCCAGGTTAAATCTCTCCTTGTTCAGTTTCCATCCATTATTCCTTGTCTGGCCTACAGGCGCTTTAGAAAATAGCTTGACCCCTTCCTCCCTCTGGCAGCCCCTCAAACATTGGAAGGCCGCTATCATTTGAGGGGCTGCCACAGGAAAGGGTCAAGCTATTTTCTAAAGTGCCTGTAGGCCAGGTACATAAACTGTTTTGGGTCAAGGTCACACATAGCTTTAGATGGCAGGATCCAAAGAAAGTTATTTTAATTTAATATACTGGTGTAGGCTTTCCCAACCAGTGTCTGTTTGACAGTGTTGCGCGTCAGAGTTTGTGACTGAGGTGTAGATAACAGGTTTCCTGATGCTTCACCAACAACTGTGGTGAAATCTTCAAAGGCAAGGTGGTCTATTGTGCAGATCAGACAATTGAGTAGGAGCTTATTGGGTCCCTGTCGTTATAGCACGATGTCCTGAATTCTGATGGCTGTTTAACTGAGCTTATTTTGGACTGGGGCAGGTTGGTAAAGGTTGGTCTCTGATTGATTCTTTATGTTTGATATTAATTGGTTACTTTGGTATTATTGGCTCTTGATTGGATCTTTGTTTATCCTGATTGGTCATTTTGAGTGTATACAGAATAAACACTCTAAAAGTAAATAAAATAAAAAAGAAATGTATTTTGTATAATGATATTTGATAAAATAAATTTACAGTTTCAGTCCTTTGAAACACTCTACAATCTCTGACAGAAATTCAGGGTACAAAACTGCAAAAAGTTGAAATTCTTCTGTGTATAGGTTTTTTTTTTTTAAACTCTGTATTAATCATTGACTGTTCAACTCTCTAGGTTCAGTTCAGAAATTTGGCCTCCAGACCATACTCACTTCATGCTCATGGCCTTCTCTATGAGAAATCTTCTGAAGGCAGAAGCTATGATGACAAGTCTCCTGAATTGTTCAAAAAGGATGATGCTATCATGCCAAACGGCACATACACATATGTCTGGCAAGTCCCTCCACGGTCAGGACCAACAGACAATACAGAAAAATGTAAATCATGGGCCTATTACTCTGGTGTAAATCCGGTAAGATAAATGTAATAGAATATTGTTAAAAAGAAAACTTAATAATCTTTATTAAGAAAACTTAATAAAAACATTTTAATTAACCTTAAAGATTATATGCCTATCTATCTTCTAGCATATGCATTTTGCTTATTATCTTAGATTTGCAATTTCTTTCATGAAAAAGAATTATTTCTGTTTAGATCACCATTTTTTACAGTATTTTTTGTAGGGTCATGAATTGTGGTTTTGTATTCTTTTCCCTAGATTCTGATCATTTTTTTGCTAGGTCAAATAGTTTTGAAAACTCTAATGAAGGAGAAATTTAATAGCTATATTAATAACATTTAGTAGCTATATTAATAACATTTTTCCAAACAGATAATCTCTTTTAGTACATTGTTTTGAATAAATATTGATTGAATATTCATGTTTATTTCTCTTTAAGATTAAATATATGTACTTTTGTTTGTATCACCAAATAATTATTTTTCATACTGGGTTTGGGTTGATTATTTTTACCTTTAATTATATGCTATTACTAAATGTTCATTACTAAATATTACTAGTGTTCATTTTTGTATTTCTTTTTTAACATGAAAAATTAAATCACATTGAAATATATTTTGCAGGAAAAAGATATTCACTCTGGCTTAATTGGACCTATTTTGATCTGCCAGAAAGGCATGATTGACAAGTACAACAGGACAATAGACATAAGGGAATTTGTCTTGTTTTTTATGGTCTTTGATGAGGAGAAAAGCTGGTACTTTCCAAAATCTGACAAAAGCACTCGTGCAGAGAAACTTATAGGAGTCCAATCTCGCCACACATTTCCTGGTAGAAATATTTTCATTTCTCTTATATAAGATTTCCACTTACAATAAATCATTTTCATGCTAATGGCAACATAATACTCAATGTTATCTTTATGCTTATAGCAATAGCACTTAGACTTGTATACTGCTTCATAGTGCTTTACAGCACTCTCTAAGTCAACGGTTGCTAACCAGTGGGCCAGGGATGGTGGTCCACAGAGAAAAGTCCCCCCCAAAAAAATACTCCCCCAAAGCAATTAATCCCGGCTACGTTGGAACACAAGGCTGCACTGCTCACATGGCCCACCTACCCGCTGCCCCCACCCTTCGACCGAGCGCAAACCTTACCTTGAGTAGAGCCACGTGAGCTGGAACGGGAAGGTAAGACCAATGGCGGGGGGAGGGAAATCTGCCCCAGGGTGGCTTGCTGACATTGGTGGGAAAGTCAGTCCCATATTCCAGAGCTGTAGTAGTCACAGGACTGGCCTTTTGGTCATCCTGGAGCAGCTCCTCCAGTCCATGGCAGGCCGGTGCACCCGGGTGGTGGAGTAGCTACTCTGGGATGACCAAAGGGCCAGTCCTGCGAGTACTGCAGCTCTGGAATATGGGACCGACTTTCCCACCAATGTCAGAAAGCCACTGTCAGTCAAAATTCATATTAGTGGTCCACGGAATTTAAAATTATGAGTTTGGTGGTCCCTGAGGTCCAAAAGGTTGGCGACCCATGCTCTAAGTGGTTTACAATGTCAGCATATTGCCCCCAACAATATGGGTCATTTTACTGATTTCAGAAGAATGGTAGACTGAGTCAATCTTGAATCAGTCAGGATCAAACTCCTGACAGTGGAATGTAGTTAGCCTGCAATATTGCATTCTAACCACTGCGTCACCACAACTCTTAAAAATATAATAATTGTTTATATTTTTTTCTATTTTTCTTATCCTAATAATAGTATAGATCTGTATTTATTCATTCTTAAAAACAATCAGCTCAACTGTTAACTGGTTGCATGTGTTAATATCAAATCTATTAGATCTTATTTTCTCTCCTAGTCTTTGTATCTAAATAAAACAACTTTGTATCCATACATTTTCAACTACGTTATAGTATACAGATAATATTCTTTTCCGCTTCCTAGATTCTATAATTATCCTTGCTCTCTCTTTAAATAAAATTCCAGAGATGCTATTTGATGAGAGGCACAAAAGATATATCTTTGATTCCTAAAGATGATTTTGGCTCAGTCCTACAGGGTAGGTATGGAGGATGGGAACAGAAGGAGGGATTGCTTTGAATGGTGCCTTGAACTCCTATAGCATAATGCTTGTGTCAGAACCACCAAAGCACTTCTGGATTGAAAGGATTATCTGGTGACATCACTGTTGGGGATGCCCACTTGGAGGCTCCCTTCATGTTCCCAGCAGGAGTTAAAGATTTTACCACACGACAACATTGGTCTCAAATGCAGGCTTGCTAACCTCCTACCCAGAGTCTTAACCACATGAGCCACCATGCTCCATTATCTCTTATATAAAAGGTGGAATCCAACTAATAATGATAAAGTTCCCAAATACTTCGTTAAGAGTTCTATGACTGAGATTTTCAACTTTTTTTATTAACACAACTATATTCGTGTATTTTTATTTGATAGGTAGTTATATCAAAGCACAGCATAAGATCTATTTTACTCTGATAACAATCTGTTGAGGTATGTTGGTCTGTCAGAATAACTGGCTCAAAGCTTGCATAGTGGAGTGAATGGGTAGACTAGAATCTGGGTCTTCCTCCTTTTAATCCAGTATCTTATTGACTGTAGCACAAACAGCTGTGGAACTATTCAAGTCTAAATTGTTTTGCTCAGTTATTTTATCTTCCTTTCTATAGCTGCATCACAATTCTAAAATAACAGAGTTGGAAGGGACTTTTGAGGTCTTCCAATCTAACCTCCTGCTCAAGCAGGAAAAATCAGTCAAAATCACGATTCTCACAACTGATTTTTCAAGAAGCTTTGTGTAATTTGCTTTGATAAAATACATATTTAAACTATAAATCTACTGTACTTCCACTGGAATTTCCCAGTTTGGCTATATCATACTCTTTAGAAGTTTAGAAGGTGGCTCCAGGTTATTACAAAAAAAAAAAAAATGCAAGGTGAATTTGTAATTCATCTTTCTGGTATTACAGTGCCTAAATTTATTTAATCTGGCTTATTTTTTAATGATTTGTGTTGTATTTTATTAAGACTAATCCATGCTGGACATTTGTGAATATAACAGTTAAAAATAAATATTTTTTCCATCTCTCCTTGCACTACTATACTTAAAAGCAGTTGAAAACTTAACGAGAAGTAGGAGAAAAAAAACAGGCTTTCCCCAAATTCTCACAATGCTATTCGATTTTTAATCTGATGTCTGCTATATTAAATTGAACTGCAATGCTTTTTGTTTAATCTGGTCATATTTTTATTTTTAGCAATTAATGGGATCCCTTATCAGCTGCAAGGCTTGACGATGTACAAAGATGAGAATGTCCACTGGCATTTGCTGAACATGGGTGGGCCCAAAGATATCCATGTTGTTAATTTTCATGGTCAGACATTCACTGAAGAGGGAAGGGAAGATAATCAACTTGGAGTCCTTCCTCTTCTTCCTGGTAAATAAATTCAGATCCACGCATCTGTTTCTTGCTGAAATGACTTCAAACATTTCTAAGTAGTTGCATTGAATATAGATATAAAGCATTCATTAAACTATATTAGCCAAACAGGAGATAAGAGTATTATGTATAATGTCTTGAATTGAACAAAATAAATATGGAAAATAAATATAATAACAGTGTGGAATTCACAATGCATTTCAGGTTGTAAACAATTAAGGGAAACAGGATGTTCTTTCAATATAATAGCATTAATTACATAACACTGTTACGCTTCATTTAAGGTATTCTTTTGAAGTAGCTTTATACAGCTGCAATACATTGGAATTTTAATAGCATTAAAATTAACACAAATGTTTGAACTTCTGAAATAGTGAAATGTGCAAAATGACAGCACCTTAACTTTTGTAAGATACATTTTCTTATGGTGTACTTGGCCATCTCTCTATGAATGTATTGTTAAAACTTCAAGCAATGCAATTTGTTTGTTGTAAATTTACAAAGAACTTTGCTTCCAGTAGCTTCCCAGATATGCTAAGACACTCAATTCTCCATCTAGATAATCTGAGAGAATTATGGCTAGCAATACAAAACTTCTCACATATGTGAAATAATAATCATAAAGGCATTCAGCTATTCCCAGAATACTTGAGCTCTAATCAGGTTTGATGGCTGCCTATGGGACAACATATTCATGTGATAAGAGGGAGAGAGGCTTATTCTACTTGTTTATGCTGTAAAATAAACCTTTATAAATAGAGAAACTAATAAATTAGGATTTAGGACTGTATAGAGATCAGTGGTGGAATTCAAATTTTTTACTACCGGTTCTGTGGGTGTGGTTTATTTGGTGGGCGTGGGACAATGTATTTTCCAAAGAAGGAGAATGCAAACAAGAAGCAATGGATGGAAACTGAACAGAGAGAAGCAACCTAAAACTAAGGAGAAACTTGCTGACAGTGAGAACAATTAACCAGTGGAACTGCCTGTCCAGAACTTCTGGGTGCTCAATCACTGGAAGTTTTTGAGAAAAGACTGGACAGCCATTTCTCAGAAATGGTGTAGGGTTCCCCACCAAGGTCCCTTCTAAGTATTATCCTGACACCTTTCCCATGATTTCTACACAGAGTTTGGCATCCTCAGTTTTCTTGCCTGAGGTGGGGGTTGGACTAGAAGACCTCCAAGGTCCCTACTCTTGTTAAACACATGTGTATTTTATGCTCTGGACTATTGACATTGAATGCATGTAAACCCTGACAAATATGTGGTAGCCCTGGGCAAAAGAAAGGCAGAAAAATCACTCTAGGTGTAGGGACAGTGTAAAATATTAACACATGAAAAATTATGGAACAATTAAAAATAATAGCACAAAGTTTTATCTCTCTCTCTTTCTTCCTTTTTCTTTCTTTCTTTCTCTCCCTTCCCCTCTCTCTCTTTCTCTCTCTCTCATACACACACACACACACACACACACACACACAGAGCACTTAACAGACAAGCATTTTGGAAGCAGCTCCTTTAAATTTCTCCAAGGCTGGAGTGGATTCCCCCACCCCGTCAGATTGCATTCCTTCTCACTCCAGGCACTTTAAACTCACACGGGGAAAGCTATACTTGCAGCATCCATGGGGAATCCTTGGAGAAGGTTTTAAAGGATTTGCTGCTTCCAAAATGCATTTCTTTTATGTTGCAAAAGTGCTCCAAAGCTCGATTCACCCCCACCCCCTCTGTCAGACCACACTCTTTCTCATTCCAGACACTAACTCACATGGAGAAAGCGATACTTACAGCATCCATGCCTTTCTTCCTTTCCCCCGGGGAGAAAGAGGACGTGGAGAACGGAAAGCTAGGAAAGCGATCGCAAGTGAGCGACTAGGTGACCGGGTTGGGGGCGTGGCCAGCAGGGGTCACCACCAGTTCAGCGACCCATGGCAAATAACTGCTACCGGTTCACCCTAGAAGGTGCAAGCCAGTTGAATACCACCTCTGATAGAGATCCAGTTTTCATTCTTACAAGATCTCCTGTCCAATGTTGGAAGACTGAAAATATTTAAGGGACAAGTGCTGTAGAACCCTTATTGTAACATATAGGGCATATCTTCCTGGACGGATGTTCCCCAAATTCTTCTTGTATCAACCAACAATTTGTTCCATTAACTTTAAGTATAATTATAAACCTGAATTTTCTGTCTAATCTCTGGTTAAGTTGAACATGCTGTCCTATTCACCATATTACTATATGATTCAAATTCTTGGAATTTTAACCTTTTTAAAAAAATTAGCATGTCTCCTCTCTGCTTTCAAGGTACATTCGCCTCCATCAAAATGAAACCATCCAAAATTGGCACATGGCTTTTAGAAACAGAAGTTGGTGAAAATCAGGAAAGAGGAATGCAGGCTCTCTTTACTGTCATTGACAAAGGTAACAGAGTTTAACCATACTAATTTTACAAGGCACATCAGCTTCATTACGAATTTGTGCTACAAAAAAAAGGTGGGGGCCTATTCTGAGATCCCAAGTTTGTATGTATGTATTTATTCATTCATTCATTCATTCATTTACTTATTTATTTATTTATTTAGAATAGCATGTAGATGACATCACTGGCACATTCCCCAGTTAGCAGGCATTACAAATATTTTGAAGATTGGGGGAAGGTACATATCCCATTTTAATATCATTACTGTATAATCTGCTTGTGTCTTTGCCTCTTCCTAGCTGGGCATATTAAGCTAGGTACAACAGGATAGGATAGGATAGGATAGGATAGGATAGGATAGGATAGGATAGGATAGGATAGGATAGAATTCTTTATTGGCCATGTGTGATTGGATACACAAGGAATTTGTCTTGGTGCAAATGCTCTCAATATACATAAAAGAAAAGATACATTCATCAAGAGTCAAGAATCATAAGGTACAACACTTAATAATAGTCACAGAGTACAATAAGCAAGACAAGAAAACAGTCAATATAGAAATCATAACTTTCTCTCCTGTTGGGTTTAACAGGAGTACTCTGCTTAATGACAGAATTTAGGAAAAGTTAATAAAACGCTTCGATGCCGCTTCTTTCTCCCTCTGCAGATTGTAAATTACCAATGGGACTGGCAAGTGGGATAATACAAGACTCACAGATCAGTGCTTCAGGTCATGTTGGTAGGTTGAATTTTAAAGCTGCTGTGACAAAAATCTTGTTATTCAGAAATTCTATATCCAGAAGTTCATCTACTGAATTGTGTGGCTCTAATGAACACCAAATTCTATAGATTATTATTAAATTACACCTGGGGCATATTTTCATTTTATTTGTATGGTACAAGAAATAATTGTCTCATAATATCAAGAGGCAGGGGGAAAGAACATTAATTAGTAGTATATACTGGGCCCCTAGCATGCAGTATTCAAACTATTTTTGGAACATTTTCAGATTTTTTTTGTTTTTACTTCTTGGTTCCAGTTCTTTTATAACAGACACTTGATAATCGATAATTTCCAATATTTGACTTTGGGCCAGTCATCCTCTCTCAGCCCAACCCACCTCACAGGGTTGTTCCACAGGGGAAAATAGAAGAAGGAACCATTGTTAGGTACATTGGCTGCCTAAAGTTATTTGTAAAAAATAAAAAAGTGGGATACAAATAAATATAAATTAAAAACTACAAATATTTCATGTTATGAAAATAATATATTTTACAATTGTTTTAGTAAAAAACAAAAGTCACCATGGAAAGCAACCATAACTTGTTGACATTGTTCTGCAAAATATGTATTTTCCATATTTCTGTATAGGATATTGGGAGCCTAAGCTAGCAAGACTGAATAATACTGGAAAATATAATGCTTGGAGCATCATAAAGAAGGAACATGAACATCCGTGGATCCAGGTATGAATTAAGATGCATAAGGGAGGAAACCCCAAGTAAAATGACTTAAGCTTGTTGCATTCATCATCTGAGGAGTCTTAGGCTTCTCTCAGCATTAGAAACGGAAGCACAAGAGAGCAGGCATTCAAGAACAGTAATCTTGGACAAGATTGGTAAAAAATGAATGACGCTAATTACAGAATTCTGGACACTGCTATGTATCAAATATAAGCCCAAATTATAGTGAAATCAATATTTGTACTCTTTCCTCTTTACTTCCACCTATGTAATGGGCTTGAATTTTCTCTTTTCTGGACAGGAGGAATAGCTTCCACCTGTTTCTAATGTTAACTGTCATGATCATTAATTTTTGCCCTTTTGCTCTTAACTATATCAGAACCAACTTTCACAGGAACACAGGTAAAAAATGTTTTGGTTTAGAAATAAGAAGGCATATGGCCTCCATCTTCCTTACTGGCTAATATCAAGTCAAAAATAGTTCTGTCTATCAAATCAAATTGTAGATATTTCAAAAATATCTACAATTTGTTTTTTGAAAAGGATCATTTATAACTTCTTCATTGGGCTCCTGATATTAAGCACTAACAACAGCCTTAATTTCTTGTTCCTTCACTCATTTTGATCCAGAGGCTCTCAAAAGCATTGCCAAGATCACTCGGATTTTTAAACTGATAATGAATATTTTGAACATACAGTGCAATTTCGTCCCACTTTTTATTTCTTCTGGAGTTTCTTTTTTTAATGAAAAAAAAGCTATGAGAGGAATAGGAACTGCTCACTCTGTAGACAAAGGTCATGTAAATTTAATCAGGTAATACAAGCATATAACCTTATAAATGGTAGAAAAATGCAAGTATCTGAAATTGTGACAGAATTCCTGCCTGGAAGGGAGTAAATAGTATTTTATTTATTTAATATATTTGAAAACATTTTTTGTGTAATAACCCAAAAATTGTACAAATAGCAAAACTCAAAAATTTCAAATACACAAATTAAGAACATATAAATTAAAAAATGGGTACAAGGAAGGAGAAAACTAATTTCCATCCATCACATTTATAAGGGTAGAAAAGACAAGCATTTAAAAGACATAACCTTATCTTAGAGTTGAAAATTTAACATCTTGCTTAATGATTAGTGACCTTTCTGAGTCATAATGACACTGCAAAAGTAATTTTACAACTACTCCTTGTATTGCTGACCACTGGTGTCCCCATTGTCACGATTGACATTCAGGTGCTTCTTAAGTGGTGGGATTTCTTTGTGTCTGTTTTCTTGCAATTACGTGAATGCCTTTTGTGCACTTCACAACTGGCTTCTGATTAATAGAGAAGCTGGCAATAAAATTGCAAGTTGTGGTCACATGATGTTTCTCTAATGACCAAAATAAAATGATATCATATGGTCATTGCAATTATGTGATGTTTTGCTTAGCAACCATGATGCTTAGTGATGGAATTTTAGATCTAATTGTGGTTACTAAGCGAGAACTATAAGCAAGTGCCTCCACATGGTGAATGTAGATAATTTAGGAATATAAATTATAAACAGACTGATATCACTGCTCAAAAGATCAAGTCCTATTTCTGAGTTTTAAATTATTGCAAAAAGAGAAAGGCAAAACACCAAATACATACAGTATATTAACTGATTCTAATTTGGGCAGTAAGGTGTAACCTCTCAGTGTTTAAAGAGATGATTAGAACCTATATTTAATTCTTTTCTTACTATAAAAGTGACACATTCCTCTAATTTTAATCTGATTTTTAGTGTTGTTAAATTTTTAAATGCAATTTTAATATGATTTTAGAGGCACTAAATTTAAGTAAGGAATATAATTCTAGGGAAAATTTTTTTTATCTTATTCCCCCAGGCATGGAATTAAGAAGGCAAGCTCAAAGCAAGTAAATGCTTTTTTCTGTATAGAAACAAGAAACCATTTTTGAAATGGCTGATCTCTGTTTCGTTCTGTACACGATTCTCCTTCTACAATAAATCTATTGTCACTGATACAACAGTTTATTGCAACATCACAATGTGATTTGGTTGTGGAAATCATCTTGGAATGTATTGCTATTCTTGAGTCATTAAGAATATTAACATTTTAATATTAACATGTTGCTTTTGTCACCTTAAATTAGGGGAGATTGTGAATTAAATGTACAGGATAAGAAATATTTGAAAATTGATTTCCCGCTTGGGAGAGCGGATGAGTTAGAAAGCAAAATCTTGATATGCACCTAATTTTATTGCAATCATCTCTACAGCTCTGACCATAATCAGTCATTTACTTATTTAGTGTATTGGTTTAGACTTCCTTATTAGCTCTGCAAACATTTATCAAAGCTGTACAATAATATGAGTGTTATATTTTAATTTGCATAAATAATGAATCGATTATTTTGATTTTCTTTGTGAAAGAAAACATGACTGTTACAAAAATATTCAGATTCTGCATGTTATTTCATATATACAATCAATTTTATATGTCGTTCCTACATTGTGTTATGCTATAGTTTGTAGGTTCACACATTCTATATGTAATTGTGAAATTACAAAGGTTTAGCAATTAAAAGAATATAAAATTTGACATACCATGGCTTAGTGTCATACATGAATCCAGTTTTCACATCACTGTATTAAAGATCAAGAGCATTCTGGTTGGCGCTGCTTTTAATTTGAGAATACCAGTAGTCTTAGACAACAGAGGGTGAAGACTAGCATAAAACATACCATTTGTCTTGTATGCCATATATTGGCTTACATTAGAATGTTCTTCTACCGTCAAAGATGTCAACCTTCAGTATGTTTTGTGTTTGTAAATTGATAGAGAAGGTGCAAACCTTCTTGCCATTTATTTGAGACAGAGTTCTTGAACCAATCCTGTATTTCCATCCAGTATGGTACAGAATATCTTTTAACCGAAGAAATGAAACTGGGATAATATGGATTCATAATTTTTCTTGTTATTGTATAGATAGACCTACAAAGACAAGTTGTCATCACAGGCATTCAGACCCAAGGAGCCATGCAACTACTGAAACATTTGTATACTGTGGAATATTTTTTTACCTACAGCAAAGATGGGCAAAACTGGATTACTTTTAAAGGAAGACATTCCGAAACACAAATGGTTTGCATGTTTCCTCTATCTGAAATCCTCATTCTTTTTTTCTGCTTGAAAATATGTATAACTAATGTTAAGAGTTTTTATCCTTGAAAAAGCTAATATATGAAAGAGAATAGTATGAAAATTATATATTCTCTATACATCTCTTAAATTGATAAAAATCTTATATTTGTTGTCTTGTCCTTTTTCATTTTGTTTTCTTTTTGCGGAAGTAGGTTTCTAAATCCAGATTAATTTTTAATGAGAAATAGAGGTGCAAAAACTGGAAAATATTTAATTAGTGGGTAGGAAAGAATGTAAATTATAGGCAGTTAATTTCTTCTCTTCCTTCTTTTAACTTGTAAATAATTGAAAAAAATATTGAAAGGAGAATTGTAGCTGGGAACAACATGTATGATTTAAGGTACTTTAATACCAATGTATTTATTGACAAATGTATAAAGAATGCTTGCGATGACATTAGAGGTATGTTGAATGTGGATAAGAATACCCGTGTACATTTGTTTACAGATGATGTATCATTGCTGTTTTAAACACCAAATTATTTGTGATGAACATTAGACAGATTATATGATACAATGAAGAATTTGAATATATGTATGCGTGTGTGGGTGTGCCCACATATATATATTATAAACAAGCACCAAGAAAATAAAGCAAGTAAATGTAGCAGAACTCTTGCAATATGAAAGAAACTTTCTGATCCTCAGTTCCCACTGAAATAATTCAGTGCTTGTTTTGATGTGCAACCTCACTGAAAACCAATAATTGCTCAATACTGAATAGGCTTAAAAGTCACTTTAATTTTGCAGATGCAAATATTTTTAATAAGATATATTTTTAAAAATGAGACATAATTTACAGAATTTGGCCTTTTTTTTCCTCAGCATTTTGAGGGTAATTCAGATGGCACCACAGTAAAAGAAAACCACATTGATCCTCCTATTATTGCCAGATATATTAGGCTGCATCCAACCAAGTTCCACAACAGACCTACTTTCCGCATTGAACTGTTAGGTTGTGAAGTTGAAGGTAAGACATGAACAGACGTTTAACACATGCATCAATTCCATTTAATGTTATCAAAAACATTGAAAGTGCAAAGAGAAACAAGATTTTATACAAGGGCTGAATATTGGGGGGTGGGGGGGAGATTAAATTACTTGACCAAACCATCTGTAGAAATATAATTCCAAACCACCTGGTATCTTTCCCTGAATATGATAGGATTAGGAAAATCTAACAAGGATATGTACTTACAACAGGCTGCTCAGTGCCATTGGGAATGGAAAGTGGGGCTATCAAGAATTCAGAGATTACAGCCTCTTCTTATAAGAAGACTTGGTGGAGTTCATGGGAACCATCCCTTGCACGACTCAATCTGAAAGGACGAACAAATGCTTGGCAACCAAAGGTAAAAACAAAACAAACTAAGTTACCTGATTATTTTTGTGATTGAATTCTTTTAAATTGTTAGGTTTCCATTAAATTAAATGCTTAAGGTAGTTTCCATCTAATAAGCGGTGGCATCAATCAATCAAAGAGAAGTGAGATAGATAGGTAGGTAAGCAGACAGAAAGACAGGCAGGTAGGCAGGAAGGAAGGCAGGTAGACAGACAGAACTTTTGGATGGATGGACAGACAGACAGAACGTGACAGTGGCAGCACTTTGGGAAAGTAAAGCAAAGTAAAGCTGCCCTGCTCCAGGAAGGAGGGAACAGCACCACCCTCTACAGCGTGAGTGCCCCAAGAGGGGGGGCAGCTTGGGAGTTTGATCACTGGCAGGAGGGGCACCCTGTGAGCTTTCTGTCAGGCACAGCAACTACAAAGAGGGGCGGGCTTAGCTGAGCAGGATCCTGGATATTGGGCATGTGGTCAAAGCCTCGCTTCCTCTGCCTCCCCCTTGGTGAGGGGTCTGCAACCTTAAACACTCAAAGACCCATTTGGACCTGTTTCCCACAGAAAACAAAACACTGGGAGCCCCACGACATGGGTGGGCGTGGCAACTCAATGTCACTCCCACTGAGTCACATGACCCCTCCAGGTTTTGTGGTTTTCTGTGTTTTCTATGAGGAACAGGTTGCTCTCTCTCTCTCTCTCCTCCATCCCTCTCCCATCTCTATCTTTCTCCCTCTATCTCCCTCCTTTCCTTCTTCTCATTTTCTTTTTCTTCCTTTCTTCCTTTCTTTCTTTGTCCCTCTCCTCTCTTTCCTCTAACTTTCTCTCTTTCTATGCCTCTTCTTCCCTCCTTCTCCCCCACTCCCCAACCCCCTTCCCAACTCCCACACCCAGGGAATAACTGTAAGGAAATTTGGCCACGTTCTTTCTGTCTCTGGAAACCTTGCATTCCAAAAAGGAGTGACAGTCAGGCTGTTTACCTCACAGTGCTACGAAGTTGCTGCCTTAGATCGCTGCTGAATCCTTGCAAAACTGGGCAAAGACACAGAGAGTAGAGCAGACAGAGCTGAATGGAGCCGAATCTCTCTCCCTTCCTTTGTATCTCTCCCTCTCTCTCAGAAAGCCCTGTGCGCTCTCCTTGGGGCTCTTCACTGTCCCCTTTTCTTTCTTCCTTTTGGAAATCTGGGCTGGCTGAAGAACGAGAGGAGGAAGAAGGGGAGGAGGAAAGCGTCCACCACGGCTTTCGCTCGTTCCTCAGCTAGGCCGGATTTCCAAAAGGAAGGAAGGAAAAAGGATAACGAAGAGTAGAGCATGCAGGGCTTTCCAAGAGTGTGAGAAGCTTCTTTTCTTTCTTTGTGGTGAGTTTTTGGAAATCCAGGTTGGCTGAGGAATGAGCGCAAGCCGAGGCGGAGGCTTCCTTCCTTCCTCCCTCCCTCCCTCCCTCCCCCTTCCTTCTCCTCTTGTGCACACCCTCCAGGCCTCACCACAGCCGGCTCCATGGCTGTTCCCTGCTCTTGCAGCACACTCAAATTTACTGCACTTCACTCCATCCCCTCCTCCTCCTCCTGGAGCCCATTACAATGCGGTGCATCAGAGCTGCCGCTTCTGAGGCGCATTTGGCTCCTGAGCGGTGCAATAGTCAATGGGGTGACCCTGCAGAGCCTCGAACGCCCCCCCTGCCGGCCCCCTTGCCTCTTAGCGCCCCCCTAAAGTATCCCACCGCCCCCCCCCAGGTGGGCGGTACCGCCCACTTTGGGAACCACTGGTCTCTATATGGAGATCACCTTTGGGTTTGTGCTGCTTAAATTTAGGGTAGATAGGCTTCATGTGTTCTCTTGGATTTTTAATAGCATTTCCTTTGCATATCAATGAGTTCAGATTTCCTGTGCACTTCTGTATGACTCAATTAGTTGCAGGTTGTAGATAATTAGGGTTCAAATGCTAAGAGTAGCATGATAGGGTGACCTTTATTAATCCTTTAGGTAAACAACAAAGATCAATGGCTACAAATTGACCTGCAACATCTTACAAAAATAACAAGCATAATAACTCAAGGAGCCACATCAATGACTACATCAATGTATGTGAAAACATTCTCCATCCATTATACTGATGACAATTCAACATGGAAGCCTTATTTGGATGTTCGCACTTCCATGGAAAAGGTACTAATTACTTATCTTACTGATGGATTTGGTTACCTAAATTAGGTCTTCCAACTTTATTATTTATTACTATATGTATGGCATTATATTGGGGACATATTAGGCCAAAAAAATCTTCATGACCCCTTTTATAGGTTTTAATCTATGCTTTGGGAATTAGTGACTCTGTACTATCTCATTTGGTTTTGTTACAGCTCTACAGTTTGCCATAGTACAATTTGTAATTAGGTGGGCGTCAGAGGTCCCTTTATTAATTCAGAGAAAGCAAAGGGTACAATGGGAACAGTGGTTGATAATAGTGGGATGTGTTAGCGGATGGATTTGCAGACTAGTTTCCTGGAAAGATCACTGCTCAAAAACCTGTACCATCATGGAATCTTATCACAGATCAATTATAATTCATGTCTCCTGTGGGACATAGCCCTAATATTCTTACCATAAAAACTACAAACCAGTACTGGAGTGCTTCATAAATATTGTCAGAATCAATTTGATTTAGCTTGCATTCCAAGCATGGCTAAATTCTATCATGAAGTAGTTTTTAAACTCATACTGTTTTACCAAGAAAGGAGAAAATGATGGCAATGTGCATCAACCCAGAAATCTAATGAAGCCAAAAGGGCCTGCAAAGACTGTAATCACCAAAGCCATGTCCCATATTTTTCCCTATGGCTGAATTTTTCCATGAATTCCAGTATATGACATTTCTCCAATTAAAAGCACTTGGAGTGTGCCATCAGTCAGGACAATACATGCTTCACAATTTCAATGAATTTGACAAAGCTCATTGGTAGTCAATAATATTTATTACAACTAATGGAACAATAGTTGAAATCATAAGGCAACTTGATAGGTTTATTTATTGATCTAAATTTTTCAGGCCTACAAATTACATGTTACTGAGGTGATCTGAGACAGAAAATAATTTTCCTGGTGATATTCTTTGGGAATTTTGAGGATTTATGTTTGAAATGTTCATTCATTTGCAAATGATGCTAATTTATTATTTTGTTTTATGTTTAGGTTTTCACAGGAAATATTAACAGTGATGGTCATGTCAAACATTTTTTCAAACCCCCTATATTGTCCAGGTTCATTCGTATCATCCCTAAAACATGGAATCAATATATTGCACTCCGGATAGAATTGTTTGGTTGTGAAGTTTTTTAAGGCTTGGACAGAAGACTATCAAATCAAGCAACTTCAATGTTTCAAGTTTTCTTATTACTAACTCTGCTTTTTAAAAGGAAACAAAAACAAAA